TGGTTGTAAAGGCGTAACAAGAATGTATTTTGAATCAATGCGATCCGCCTTGCGTCATACAAAAGGTTTCCATATTTTTATGTGCGCAATCATGCAATAATTTGTACACCTATGCTCATGTCCAATTAGTAGCAAGAACCAAATATTACAATATTATTATGGGCCAGCAGGGTTCCAGTGCTCTTCATCTTTACAAAATTTCATCAATAAAATTAATAGACTGTTTGGGAAACCCAAGGGCCAGCAGCTATCTTGCCCAACGCATTAGCATATCCATACAAAGGTAGAACGCTGCCAGCATCTTGGGCTCCTTGCCGCGACGCCCCAATTTTATTCTTAATTATATAATTTAATCACAGTTTCAGTTTCTAGTATTTAAGCTTTATTCCTATTTTTTTTAGCTGCAAATTAAAATATTACATTATATAATACTAATACATTTAAAAAGTGTATCTAGATTAAGAAATAAAAACAACAGTATAAATAAAATGTCAATTATATCCCCAGTATCCTAAAATGTCATATTATTATGATAATTAAATAACGAAGTCAATTCTACGCGATTATTGCAATCTCTAACTTCACTCGGAAATGTATTACAGACCTTTGAATTAGTTACAACTATAATCTAGAAGTAGAGTAGTTTTGATATGATCTAAGGAGGTGTATTTTCATTCAAAGACGTTTAAACAATTTCGTTCAATAATGGCTGTTCCAATTGACAATGATTGTCAATTGACTTTTTAAATCAAATGGCTGACACCGGACAACCGTGTGATATACACAATAGTAACACAAAGAGCGTGTTATCTATGTTACAATGTACAACAGCGTAAGAATTAATTTGTAGCGAGGCGTCCAGCATGCGCGAACACGTAGTATTCCGCTATTAGACACTGGGTCAGGTATTAATTGATGGATTTACACAAGCACGCCGCTTTGGTTAATTTTTTGTTCTATTTGTAAACTGTATCATTGTATTAAATTAATACAATTCAAGTTTAAGTTGTTAGTTTGTAATTGATGACGTTTTTTAGAGAAGTGGTATGTGTCAAGAAATGCGATCTAATTTACATGTTGTCATAGAAAGATCATTCTGAAGTGGTCAGCGTCGTACAAGGAATTTGATCCGTAGTGGACGATTTTACAATGTGTAGACTACGGTCTGTGGCCGCATGGCAGTATACGTGTGAAAAACGTCCCAGTGATCATATTTATTTCAGTTGATAAAGCTAAATTTGCTTATTTGGTTTGATATGAAATTGCGTTAACGAAGAAATGAAAAATGTGGGGGTTTTGAAGTTGCTGTTTTTACATTTTGTTGGTTATTATTTACGTATTTTTAATTACTCCCATAAGTTGAACCGTATTAAAAATGTTTTTCTCACCTTTTTCCAATATTTTTTTCATCTCGAATGTCGCGTTCAATTTTTACGTTGATAAAATTACTGTGCCGAACTGTCAAAATCTTTTAAAATAAGCTGTGACCTTGCAGCCATATTTAGCACTGTGTTAATCTTTTGCAGTCATTTGTCGCGGTTCTCGCGATGACATAAAAATGTGACGATACGGTGCTCGCCATGTTAGCTATCGTGATAACATTTTAAACTCCCGTTTATCACTCGAATTTGAGAGCTAAATGTGGATAAAATAGTTTTATCGAAGCGGCATACTACGGGGGCTGGTGGACATATCGCACCGTTAACAAAAAGTGACGATCATCGAAATTAAAAAAAACAGTGAAACTAATATTTCTTTACTCATATGAAATAGAATTTAGTTATATTTGACTGGTGTCAAATATGGTATTATTTTTAAACCTATTTCATCGGTTTCGCAAAAAGGTAGTTTTCGAATTAGGTCAATTTATAATTAAGGGTGCGATACGTTAAATGCAGGAGAGACATTTAAAACCTGTTTACTCGGATGTGGTACGCCTGTATTGACTGACTAGATTCAGTTGCCTATTAAAGCTTGATTACAGTAGTAATAAATAACTAATTACCCTATCATCGGAAGCAAACAGAGAAATTACACGACCTAATAACAAAAAACCGCAGGACGTGCAATTACGCGAATGAAGGGCTGCGGTAATTTCTAATTGTTATTAACAAATTACGATGAATTAAGTCGATCGATTAGGCTTGACGCCGTGATTGGGCAGAGCGGATTTGTGATGGCCATTTCTGAATAATTCCAAATAATCCGGAAATAAAATCGGCAATTTTCTTAAAAAATAAAAATGTTATTGCCAATGGCCCCAGACGGAGATGGATTAAAGACTATTTAGTTGACAGTACCATATTGCCAACAGGTTAGTTTACAGAGGATTATTGCCGGTAATCGATGACAGTAGAGATTAGACTAATATGGTCAAGTGAAAAGTGACTTGTAACAACATTTGTAAGTTTGTTCGCGTTAACCGTTAATATTTCATAGGGATATCACTCCTCAACCCTACCCCCGCGTAATGAATCTGTCAATTTGCTTCAGTAAAATTAATATGTATAGTATGTATTTATTTTCTAATAAGATTTTAATGAAAACTTTTTGTATTTAAGAGGAGTTCTTAGGTTTTCGCGTATGCTACACTTTGAAATTGAAACTACAACTGATGAGACGTTCATTCATTTAAGGCCCACAGCTAATCTTTCTACTCGAGTAGCCTGTGGTTGAGGTATACGAAACGTGTCTATAGCGTCCTGCGCGTTCAATATAACAACGCATTTAGAGTGCTGATGGGACTGCCCAACTGGTGCAGTGCCTCGGCCATGTTCGCGGATGCTCACACGGACAGCTTCCAGACCGAAATACGGAAAAAGATTGTGTCGTTGTTGAGTTGCGTGAGGCAAAGTCCCAACAGCATTCTTAGGGTCGTATTCCAGAACTCTACTCAATGCTCAAGTCAGGATTTGAGCAAAGCACTGGAAATACGACCCTAATGGCAAGGACTTGAGAATGATTTTCAGTGCTCACTGCAATACTCAAGTCCTGACTTGAGTATTGAGTAGAGTTCTGGAATACGACCCTAAGTGCAATATTGGGAAGTTTTGACTGTCCATTAGTAAAATTGTAGATAGGGCAAATTAAAGGCGTAGCCCAATTTATAGTGTAGGAATAAATTAAGTCTGCACTGCATTATACTGACCTTGTTTTTAAATTCTCGTACTAACACATTATGGATATTTTTAATGGTCCGAAATAAAGAATTATTATTAGTATTATTATTTGTTTGCAAGAACAGACATACGCGATTTAGGTCTGAATAGGCGTGTCGCTTACCACCAGGCCCGTTTCGTCAGGCCAGGTCCGTTGGTATTGTAAAAAAATGTCTCTCGTGGGCTTGGGTGCAATTTGTGGTTGTTTATGTGTTTGTTCATGGCATCCGCGACACGGGGTTTCCCTTGTGCGTAGACATACTCTTTCACAAGGAGCTTCACTGCTGCCAAAATGAAATATTTTATGAAACATTGTATTTATTATTATTTTTAATATAATGATGTTTTACTACCTTGATACTTATCATATTTTGTGAAAATATTTCACTTAGTTTATTATTATTACTGATACAAAACAAGAAGAGAATTTCCTTCAATCCGATTGGACACCTACTCAGTGTCTGTTTCTGGGTTCGAGTACAGTCAGATCGATTGTCTTTGTGTTTGTTCGATCTTCTTTATCAATAATAATGAATTTTAATCTCTAAGTTACGTACTTTGGTAAATGTTTATTAACGATGAAACCTGCACGTTGACGAACAGTTCACAATCATTGGAAAACGTCAAGCCCACAACGCATATTAGGCAAGCGTGGAAAACTATGGCCTAAACACTCTATTTCGACTGGACCCATGCCGAGCAGTGGAAGTTATAATGTGTCAATAAATGAATGATAGTAATGATGCCAAACAATCACACCAATTGTCTGGTTTCAAAATTGAACCCGGAACCTCTTCATCCAGCGCCTATAACCATTGGGCCACTGAGGTAGTCAAGTTAATTTAAAGACAAAATTACAGAAGCAGTCTTCAAAAGTAAACAATGCTTGTTACATAATAAGTCGAATTTTTCACAGTTTAGTTGTACTTATTCTAATATTCACTTACATAGATTCAAATGTAAACAATGACCCAACAATTCAGAATTTAAAGCATCGTAATAAACAATGGGTGTGTATTTTTTAATCGACTTTAAAAAAAAGAGGAGGATATCAACTTTTTTGTGTGTATGTTACGATTACTCCGACATTTGTGAACCGTTTTCTATTCTATAATTTTGAAGGTGGCGAATTAGGGGATGAATCAGGTTTATTGGAATTCACTCACTTTCCGTTAACCGATTTCAATAAAATTTGACAAATAGTTACAATTCCACAAACTTTTGAGGACGGTTTTCTCTATAAAATGTTATAATTATAATAGCAAATTTTAATGGGTTGGTGACTGTCATTTTTTTTTATAATATCAAGCGACAGGACGAACAAGTCGTGCGCCTGATGGTAAGCAACACGCCTGTGCATAACAGTTGCAGTGCCACTCAGAGCTTCAAATCGCAAAGATCCGAGGGGCACTGCCACTGCGCCCGTCACCCTGAGACATAAGTTGACAAGTCCCATGTGCCTGTAATTTCACTAGCACCCTTACCCTCCAAAACTGGGACATGCTGACATTACTGCTTGGCGGCAGAAATAGGTAAGGTGGCAGTACTTCCGTGGAGCTCTTTCACAAGGAGCTCTACTGCTACAACCGAAGTATAAAGTATGTTTTTGTGTTTTCGAGATACAGTTATTATATAACTACTTCCTAATATTGAAATGTTTTATGTTAGTAAAACATTTGGTACACGAAAGTAATCGAACTTAGAAAACCTGTTTTTTAATAAAAGTTTTAATAAATTTCACTTATAGGCATAAGTGAAATGTATTAAAAAATTGCTTTACATTGATATTTGGTTTCTCAGGTTTCTCAACTGCCTCCTTGGCCGAACGGTAACCATGCCGGACTGCCACGCAGAGCTCCCAGGTAAGATTCCCGGGCCGGGAGAAAGATTTGTATGGTCTACATTTATTTCTGAGTTTGGGTGTAATTCGTGGTAGTCTATTCGTGTGTCCATGGCACCCGCCACACAGGGTTTCCCTAATACAGAGCTATGTTGAGTGTGTGAGTGTGCGCGTTATTAAGTTTGTGAATCATCTTCAGCTTCTCCTTTCGAAACGTTATCGATAATAGAGAAAGACTGGGTAGATTAAATTTCGGTGTATACGCATCGAACTTTATTAATATACATAATTCACTGTTTTAAACTCTACTTACGATTTCATTGCATCACATATTTTAAGCAGTCGTGAAAAATGGTCAAAATAAAACAACGTCGAAAGAAAGCGCGCTTTACCGGTTTTCGGCGAAAGTCGATCAAAAGATAACAAATGGTATTAAACAAAGTAAAAAGATAAAATGTAAACGTAATAGCGGTAACATTTATTTACGTTTTGTTCAAATTTTGTAATCGGAACATTTTACGCGACACAGTTTTGATATAATTTTAATCGTTCTTTTGTTTCGCAGTTTTAATGTGAATAATATGCTATTGCACATTTTTAATTTCTATATAATGATATATGCATTATGTCGATTAACATAAGACAAAACGTTTGAGGAAGTGTGACGTCATGTGACACGGTGTGGCGGTCATATGATTTATATGTACAACAAAGTAGATGTTTTATGCAATTTAATAACTAACATGACAAAGTTTTTATGTATGTTCTATTGTTTTATTACTGTTGTAACACTTTTGTTGTTGCTAAAGAACGCAGTCAATATAATAAATAAGTTTGCAATAACGTTAATGTTAAATTCGCGTCAAAAAATGTTGGTTAACCAGACAACATTTTGATAGGCCGTCATGTTTTTGGACATTTTAAATTTTGTTTCTGTGTTTTTATATTCTACGTTATAGTGCACTATCCTCTTAGACGTTTCAATAAATCAAAACGTATTCAAGAATCTGCAGTTCCGTTTGAAAACCATCTTCTTAATAAACTTTTGCATTGATGTAAATAATATTTATTTATCTATCCTATATAAACTTCAACATCTTCCACAGTTGGGTACGGCTCTCAAGAGCGGCCTTTACATCGAGAGGTATTTAGCTAAACGTGTCGATGCAGTGAAACGCTGAGAGCGAAATGCGGTTTCCATTGTCGGCGGAACTGCACGTGAAGATTCCGATACGCTTGCGCCGCTTCCAGTGCGGCTGTAGAGTTTGGTGTATTCTAGGTTTCAGTAGTACATTGTAGATTGTTATGTAAGGAGTCAAGATTGAAAATTAAGGTATGTTTTGACTCGATCTGTTCTAGAAAGTATGTTGTAACCTTCTGTCTCAGATAGTGTAAAAAGTTTCAACCTACAGGTTTGAAGAAGAAAGAATATAAATTATCGCACAAAATAAAAATCTAGTGGCCGTAATTATTTTGGAAATCAATACCTTTTATTATTTATTTGTATATTTATTTTTCGAGCATTCAATGTACACATGCCCTTACAAACCAAATATCAAAGAGACTGGTATTACAATGAGGAACTTTATGATTCTTTTATTCGTTTTCCGCAGGGAAACTTTAACAATAAGTAACAGCGCTGAATGAATTTTGCAACTTTTTTTACTAAATAAGACAGTGACGACGTGACCGACAATGGTACACGTTTGTCTAAAAAATGCCTATTCATTCTATGTAGTCTTGTATAGCTCTAAATTGTAGATTTCGAGAAATGCATATTATGTCTGTAATGTATTCTGATCGTTTTAGGAAAGACGAAGGAAAGTGCTTCGAGCGGATCTACGAATTACTTTGAAGAGTTTAAAAGAGAAATCTGGAGTAAGAAATGTAAATAAATACAGAGTAAACAACAAATCAACCGTCACACACGTTGCTCTAATCCCAAAGTAAGAAACTAAAGCCCTTGTGTTATTGAAATCGGAAAACGACGTTGTCACAAACACCCAGACCCGAAACAATATAGAAAAAATAGTTTATCTACATTGACGCGGTTGGGGTTCGAACCCGGAACCTCTGAGATGGCAACATCATGAAAACCTGTGTGCAGGCCCACATCGGAAATCTAATCTCAATAATCAGTAGCACAGCATAAGGAACATGAGAGCATGAACCCCTGCCAAATATTCGTCTCGCAATGTGCATAATCCGTTTTGGCTACGGCAATTGCGCGTGCGCGGCACACTGCTCTAGAAACGCGCAAAGCGGCGCCGGTGCACGCGATCTGCGATGGTGATAGATTGGAGACCGGTGTTTAAACTAGTTTTAGTTGTCAATAAAAGAAAACGTTGATACCGAGTTTGAAATTAATAATAAATTAAAAAATGAAATATGAGACCGTTATGTCTGCAGCGGGGTTTTTAATAAATCTAGTTTGAATTTAACCGATCCTCTTCATGAATTTATTAGCACATTTAAATCCTTAACCCTTTTCTCATGTTAATTTGTCGGATCCGATGCAAAGTCGGATCCGGGTGTCTCACTAATTGAGTGGACAACTTTCTTTTCGCGAAAGCGACGAACAGACTAGCCGCAACGTGCCGTAAGTGCCTTAAGTTAGTGCCGTGAGAGCCGTACGGGCCTGCCGTATGTTTGTGATGTAATAGTAAACCGCCTCTCGTTATCACCATTATGCTAATTTTTATTGAATAGATTTTTTTGCTTTTCTTTCAATTTAACGGAATGGTTTTAATAAGGAGTTACGATTGTATGAGTTGGAAAATGGAAAGTTCGATGGCTCGAATCCCTGTGAGTGACCTACGATTTTACTTTCTAAATTACTTACATTTAATTTTTTAAGTATTATTTTTTAAATTATTCCACTAGTTTATTATTACAAAAATTGACGTCTTCAAAAGTTTGAAAAAACCAAATACAAAGATACAACAAACACATAGAAAAATTCATGAGGTCCGCTGGTTCGTTCCGTGACTCAGTTGGCATTGCCTCTAGCACGGTTGCTAGATGACGTCGGATCGACGGATTTTTTCTAAGTGTTCGATCTTTGTATTAATAATTACTTACATTTGTCAATGTTCATTAACCACACCCACCTCTCGCTTAACTACGCGTCTTAAAAGGTTCACAACCCTTGGAAAACAAGTGAAGTCCCCAATACGCACGGGACCAGCGTGGTAGGCTGTACGGTCTAAACCCTCCTCTAAGTAAGACCGTACGACCCGTGCCCAACGGTGGAACATATAATGCGCCAGGCATGTGTCAGACAATCACAACAATTGGTCTCAAACTAGGGTATTCCCTGTGCCATGAGTACCAGCGCATCGGAATTCACACTGGGGCACTTCTTAGAACACCTAGTACAGAAATAATTTACAAAAATCATTAATTTACCGGGCATTGAACCCGATACCTCTTGATCCCGCGCAAACCATTGGGCCACCGAGGTCGTCAAAGTATGATGAATTAAAAATTGATATTTGTGTTTTTTTTGTAATATCAAATGACTGATGGTATGCTACACGCCTGTCCATAACAGTTGCAGTGCCACTTAGAGCTTTAAATCACGAAGATCTGAGATTCACTGCTACTGTGCCCGTTACTCTGAGACATAAGTTGATAAGTCCCATGTGCCTGTAATTTCACCAGCACCCTTACTCTTTCAGCACCGGAACACAGTACTGCTGATATTAGTGCTTGGCGGCATAAATAGGTAAGGTGGTTATTGCCACCTTACCTATTTCTGCCGCCAAGCACTGCCAATCGGAAGTACTCTTCCCAGGACAAACTCCTTCACAAATTCTACTACTACTGTATTTCCGATGTCATTTGGTATTTATAAATTCTTCAGTGTTGAGAAATTTCTTTTATTTTCAATAATGTTGTATAATATGCAAAAAATTTTCTATTCTATTCTATTGTTATACAATTTTCTCTATTTAACTTTTTTTAATTGTGTCGTTTTCACAATGACCTTTCTTCTTTTCCGTACGTACATTGTGCAATTCTAACAATTGTAATTGTAATTTGTTTGGGAAGTGACGAAAGGTGCCATTAAAATAACGATCGCTTTCCAAACATTAGTAATAATACATGATAATTAATAAAAGGCAATTTATTAAACGTCATTAGCACAATAGCAAGTGTTAATAATCTAAGACTGCCCACTGACTGCATGACTGACGCGACTATTAATAGTCGACAAAAGCGACGTATATTTGAAAAATTATATCACAATCTGGAATGCGTCTGCGTTTGAAAATCGGTTTATTTGTGACTCACAATAATAAAATGAGGAGAGGACTTGAAGGGGCTCCGATGTTAAAAGGCGGCAGTGGACTTTGTTCCTTCCGTTCTGAAGAGTTTACCCATAAAACCAACTAAAGTAATTTTGGAAAAATATTGGTGACATTCACCTTTAACTCTCGTGCAGCTGCGTACTGGCAGCGAAGATAACTAACTCCGTGTTTGCGATGAATGAATATTGTAAATAATTACTGACAATCGGTTTTACATTTTCAGCAGCGGTTTGTAATTTCGTATCAATTTTTCGTCTCAATGACATTTTTATTTGTCTCTTTGGGCATTTCGCGTTTGGCTGAAACGCGAAAGGAGATCGGAGAATGCCCCCCGATCTTTTCCCAAAAATACCTTTAATGATTTCCTGGGCTCTAACACGACTGACAAATTTATATTTGAACCTAGGAATTAAATCGCTAATAATGACTTTTGAAAGTGCTAAATTTGGTATGAAATTTATGATTTTCGGTGAAGGAAAATATCGTGATGAAACCTGTACGTTGAAGTAGGTTCACAACCCTTGGAAAACGTTTCACACGTCACGTCTATGTTATGTAGACTATAGCCTTAAGCCTCGCCTGACAGGAAACCCGTCCCCGGCAGTGGGACGTGTGGATGATGATTGACTTTTGACTTTTAAATCGCGTTCGTGTTTTCACATCAAAAACCAGTGGTTTTGAATTCCGCAGCTTGACGTGGATCTAAAGCAAGTCAGCGCGTGTCTACCGTCAGGGATGAATCCTGAGCTGAACCGTACTCGATTGAGGACGCTTCAGCTCAGGATTTAAACGCGAGTTCGAGAATCGCAAGTGAAACTCTATCCAATAAAATTGTATGCATTTGTGGTTGTAATTCACCGCAGATATTTTATTGTTATTTGTATTTAATTTGGTCACTAGAAATCGCGTGGCGGGAAAAATACTTTGTTTAGTGGTTGAAATATTGATGTGAAAGTTTTTGGTTTAGGCTTGTTTTCAGTATTACGAAAATTTTAAACTTTGGTAACGTGGTTGGCAACGCCCCACAGATTTGTCTTTCTCTGCGACTATGACGAGATTAATGGGATGAATTCTTTCTCAAATGAGTTAAACGTCGTGACAGATAATATTCCTAGCGGAACTTAAAAGAAATCTTTGTACTTATAACTTGAACACCAAAATCAAAAGTGAATATTAGCGCCACCTTTTCGGGAAAAGAGCGTTCTGTCTGAATTAGATTAGCATTTTAACCAATGGAGTGTCTAAAGGCATTGTTATGACATCGACTCACAATTAAAACATAAGTTTTTTTACCAAATAGATGGCTACTCTATATTTAATTTGAAAATTGGCTGACATGTTAGCCATTGTATAGCCCGCTTTAGACGCAGCGTGTAGCTTCGCCCTTGAACCGGCAGTGAAAGTGAGAAGCAACTAGTTGTGAGATGTACGGATGCGACGTATACATTTGTTGTTCTCACACACACAGCTTCATTTTGTGGTAATAACCTACAGGTGTTCTGTAAATGAAAGATAATGTTCAGGTGGAAACGCGAGACCCAAAAGTAACAGGTGTTGAAAGTGAAATTTCGAGAATTTGCTAAATGATCTGCTCAATATTACATGGAAGTAGAATTTTTTGTAAAAAAACATTAGTGAAAAATGCATACGCTGTTAACTGTATTATATCACCACATTACTACACTGTTTGTTTTGTTTTTAATTGATGGAACCCTCACCATGTTACAGAAGCAAATAATTGAATTTCTTCTGACAATAAATGAAAATTAATGCCATAAGTACGAACTCTACTAATACTACAATTTCAAGGTATAAATATAACTCGTGAACCTGGTTATATGCAAGTCCTAAATATCGAATGACCTGTCACGACGTAAGAGGAGTAGTGTTTCAATCGTCGCCGACAGTCAGACGAAAATACTGTATCAAGTGACGGGACGAATAAATAGTGCGCCTGGAGGCAAGCGACATTCCTGTCCTTAGCAGTTGTAGTGCCACTTACAGCTTTAAATCGCAAAGACATTAGTCACAAGTCTTGTGCTTGTACCTGTAATTTCACCAGAACCCTTGTCCTTTAAAACCGGAACGAACTTGGCTGCATAAGTAGGTATGGTGGCAGTTGGACACGGAGTCTTTCACAGGTTACATAAGTTATTAGTGCGTTTTTAACATTACGGCAGCATGTGACGGAATATTAGCCAGGGCCCTACATTCCTCTATAGCTTATTTATAGACCCATTTCATATATCTATTTTATTAATAATTAATTTATACACCCGTTTATTTTTTGTGATATATTCATGTTAAATAAAGTAATTTTGATTTCCGTGGTGGTTAGTTTATAATTTGGTTAGAGACGTAATTATTGTAATTGCGGAAAAACAATAAAAATTTTGTCAAGTTTTCTTAAAGAAACGAAGTAATTGAGTTGTAATTAAAATTTTTGTAATGAAATGTGACAAATATTTATCGAACGTTTAACATTTAACTGCTTTAACGATGTTGGTTTCGAGCTAGAAATTTGCGATGTAATTGCTATATGAAAATTTCTCTTCGACAAGTTATTGAAATATACATGAAATATAACGTGCCACTGATGGACATGGTTTGCCCTAAAAGAAAATTTGTGCCTTCGTTAATTGAAAGGGCACGCGACATTTTTTCAAAAATTTCGTATGTATACTGCCGTGATCAGTAAAAATAGGCGATATGTAAATTTTAATTTTTTCATAGGTGGATAAGAAATAAAGTTACTGGTTTAAAGTTTATGTCACATGCGTCCTTTCAACTAGCGGCGGCGGAATTAGTTTCATCTCTTCCTTCATTACCATGAAATAATACAGTTTTGAATATGTTTCCAATAATCAATTAACAGTACCACTCAAACGAAACTCAGTAGTGGCGAACAGATGATAGTTAGTTTAATCCTATATTAGTCGACGTAGTAGATGCTTTTTATTTCCTTATGACATAAACGAAGCCGCGGGCGACCGCCAGTTGCATCAATTATCACATGTGATTCCGTAAAAATGTTGGTGTAAAAAAATTACGATCGTGTAGAGAATAATTAAAAACACGATTTCGTGCGTTGAATCGTTGCAATAAATGTAGTTTCGTTATTTCGCGTTATGTAGAGCGAAGTGACCGCATACCTGCTTGCTTGTACTCGATGGTTATCTAGAAATTGTATTTATTAAATGGAGTGTGTAGTATTAGTATACAAGTACCGAAATAAATACTTTGCAGAGATATTGTTTTGTTAATAGTTTGTACCATTTTTTTAAATACACTAGACAACCACATCAATAATCTGGTCTCTGAAAAATATGTACATCGTACACCCAAATTCGTTTCTAATCTAGCTTCTTTCTTTTGGGCCACCATCGCTTGTATAATTTAAATAAAATACTACACTCACATGATATCTTCTTTATATTTTTATTAATAAAGATTATTTATAGGACATAAAAAATATTTCATACCTTTTCAATAACGAAAATAACGCCAAAACCAACAATTCCAAAATCCTCTTCTTAATATAAAACTGTTCTTACACTTTCTTAACGAAAAATGTCTTTGTATTTAAAAAAGTTCTAACAACCTCGCGTTGACTGAATCACATTTTCCGTCAAGCAAAAATGGTTCATCCTTGCACTACGTGAAACTAAGTTTGTCAAGTTACGTTTAAAGCTATGGTTAAGTAGTGGTGTCACTCCGACGGTCGCGCTTACACTGATTCCGAACGAAGGCACGGAGAGAGGAACTTAACTATCACTTATCAACTCAGGCCCGGAGCTAGGGAGTTCAAGTTATTTAATGGGCGAGGTGAGGAATACGAAATCTATTAGCAGGTTTGTCATTATTAGAGAAATGCTACGTTGTGAAATACGCGACTGAAGTGATATAAGCATTTACTAATCATTCATTTACATTACAAATAGATAATTAGCTACTGCGATTCTTCTATTAAGAAAATGTAATTAAATTTTTTTAACAGACATGTAAAATATTAATTACAGGTGGCAAACAAATGCTCAAAAATACTTTACTTTTTGATTACAATATATTTTAATTTTTTTTTATTATATTTAAACAATTATGTCGATTATAATTTTTCTGTTTCTTTTTTCGTCTATAATTAAATCCACGCGAAACTAGGCTAGTGTGAAAGGACTTATGAAAGAGGTGTACTTTACAAAATTGTTGAACAAATATGTTATCACGTGAAACCAAATACTGTCGTAACTTAAAGAGGAGGATTTGAGAGACACGATTTGAAAATTCGAAACTTTACTGAACGGAACCAAAAAAATATTATTCTCGTTCACAAGTGGATAAATAAATATTATGCATAAATAAAAATAATCACATTATTCGCAGTAAGATCCATTCAGTTACTTTTTTCAACTCTCAAATCTTGTATTGTCAGTTCCACCATTTTTGAGTTAATAATAATAATACAGCCACGCCAATTAGCTGGTCTCAAACCAGTTAATTCCCAGTACTAGTAGTCCAGAGCAACAATAATTGATTCCGAGGCACTATCCAGACGTGCAATCTGGTATACTTGTAAAAGTTCGTTTCCAAATTAGTTCAACCAGGATTGAAGACGGGACATCTTTATTTAGCGTTTAAAGTGCTAACCGTGGGGCTACAGACGTCGTCAAATAATAATAAGTACTCATTATAGTGTTGATAGTAAGTTTGGTCGTATAAGGTGTTATTCTTAGACCATCTTCTCATTACGTCCCTGTATCAAAACAAAGCGACCCCGCACCTTAATCCATCCATTTTTTATTGATTTTTTTCTATTAATCTATTTTTTCGTTTCCGTACAAGGGCAAACATGATCCTTGTCGTTAGATATGGGTTTCTTTGGAGAATTTAAAGTTTTTTTGCTTTGTTGATAATAACCGTGAGTCGGTTTTAAAGACGAGACGAGACGAGACTTGGTGATTTGAGACAACAGATGCTGTTTTAGGACTGTTATAATAATCAACACGTATAGTCATGAAAGGCGTTACCTATTGCTTTGGATGCCACAGCAGCGCGATACCAATCTTCCTTATAAATAAACGCTTCGACACCAATGTGTTCAGCCACCAACCATGTTAATTACCAGGCTCATATTTAAGAATTCTCCGTGAATATGTATAAACGTAATTAACTTTCAGAATACCAAAACGAATTTAGAAAAGTTGGTTTCCAAATTTGTCCTACTACGAATAAAAACCGGGACTTCCTAATCTTAAACGTATCGTGTTCAAAACAAAGCCACCAAGGCCATCAAGTTGAACGATGTGAAAAAATAAACGACTCTTAAAATACTATACTATATACGCTTACAATCAGGTACAATATATATTTTTATTCTTCCTTTTCACTTCCAAAATTTACCTACTTTTCAAAAAAAAACAAGATTGAAAACAATTAATCATTTTAAAAAAGTGAGATGAATAATTATAATGTAACATAAACAGAAAATAGAATAAAATAAGGAATCACTGTGATTCCTTATTTTATTCTATTTTCTGTTTGATATGATGATATGTCATATGCCACTATATTAAACTTTAAAATATAATGTCAAGGGATAACATGATCGACATTCATATAAATAGTAACAGCTTATTTATAATAAAATATTATAAAAAAATATTGTCAACGTACAACGACGTCCAATGGATTACAATTTTTTCGAAAAAAAAGTACACAGAACACTATAATATTCATTATCCAATAAAAGGAGTTTTAGTCGGGCATTAAATATTTCATTGCAAATGTTACTTTTTAAACAATTTATCATAATCACATATAGAAAGTAAGCCTACAATAGCGGGACTGACCTGTGACTGACCAAATATTCGCAATTAAGAACTTTTTATTATCCTCCAGGCTGCGTCCGGGCAGACCAACTTGTTTACGTCTATTCATATTGAAGAACCAACCTCATAATTCAACCGAGAACGTTTATATATTTGCGGACTCGCTGTCTAAATACAAACAACGGAATAAAATATATATGTATATTGTCACGAAACAAACAATCACTTGAATTGAAGTTTTTAAAGTTCTATATTGGAGTAGGCAGGCGTATGTCCCGATTTCGGCAATATTTAGATACCACAAAGGATAGCACGGAAAGCTGTCAGATGTCAAGATTTAATAAAATCGATACTTATTAATAGCCAGCGAGAGTCTGCTAGATTCGTTTTCACGCCAAGGAATGCGGTTTCATTTGTATTCGGCTGTGATGTAATTAATATCTTCGAGACGTGGGAATGCTGTAGGCCGGTTTATGTCCTTTTGCCATACTTGCCAAGTTCCTGGTTGGTAATAGTACCAGGCTATATATATCACTGAATGGGAAATGACCGAGCAACATTCGCTTCGCTTGAAACGTTTCAAAATGTTCAGTCTTAATGTGGAAAAGAAAGAAAATTGTTTATTCAGTCAATAACTTACAGCACGGTTACACACACATTAAATAATTTGACACATGATACAATTTAAAAAAAATTATTAATAAATAATTTAATAGAATATTTTTTATCGAGGAACTATAACGAGACAGTGTATACCCGAGGCTTAGCGAGCGTTTTAGAAAACTTTATTTTTCACTTCGATTCGTCAAATGGTTCATACACATATTATTTTTCCGCGTTGGTGCGGGAAAATAATATGGCGCCACCGTCTATGCGGAAAAAGAACGGAACTATAACCCAGGTAGTCGTAAGTGCTGGATGTTTGAGTTTGTCTAGGTCACTCGAAGTAAATTTAAAAAAGTAGGTGCTTTTTATTCCCTAATGATATTAAAAGATGCACTTTACTTCCGCTACGTCGTCCTTTTAGAGCATGAGAAGTGAAAATAAATTAATTACTGAAATTGGAATGATGGAGTGTGCGCTGTGCAATTTGGGAATCCGTCATCTCGCACTCTGATTTTCGGTGGTCCCGGTAACAGCATATAGCTGACCGTTCAAGCTGTCACTTAAAATGGTTTAAATGATGAAAAGACAATATTTGACAGGGTTATATAGCTCCAACCGTGACCCGTAAGCACCTAGTTGAGTCTCATTACAGATTAAAAATGTTTTTAGATTTCAAGATTAAACTTTGAAGTTTTGTTGTTGTTATTGGCAAGATGTCAGTATTGTTTATCGTTTAATTTGCATATATTTCGTATCGCAGCCTGGCACAAACGCACGAATGAAATGTTCAAGTTTATCGAACATTGAAATTAAATTGATCATATGAGAGAAAAACACATAAGTAAATGAGTTATTATGGTCTTTCGGAGGTTCGTGACTATTTCAATTGGCCAATTTCTGATGAGATTCTGGTATGTAAAGTTCAAGGACAGAGCGTACCGGCGCCAATCAGACATTAAAGATTGTTTTGTAGTTCATTATTAATTATTCTGCAATCTTCGCGAGAAAATACAAAAGTGAGCATGTGGTATTTGGTGCATTTCTAGTGAAAATGTCATTATCGAGGTGAATTACACTTTCTTTCGAAATGATCTGAATCATATTTTAATGGTGTCTGCCGGACTTTGCCTACGTCGATACGTTTCAGATCTGTTGAAGAAAGCGATTGAGATATAATGCAAGGCGTAAATATCAACACTAACCCTAACTATAATGTGACAATACAATCAATGACAACAAACGAACTTCAACCTTTCTTGCAACCTTCCTGTTTTGGACATGGAGAGCAGTGAACTTTTCTTGACAGAAGTACGTAAAGAAAGTGTTGAGGGTACCCTCAACTTTGTGTCAACTGACCACACCTGAGTCCACACGGTCCAGTGTCCACATAACAAGGTTTAAGTGTTACGCGGCGCGGGCGCAGCGCTTTCTTCGGCACGCCCCACGCGTGTTGCGTAACATTGTAGGATGTAGAGGATGATACAATGAATTATATTTATTATGAATTTTCATCTAAGCGACACTTTGTTATCTTTTTATTTCTAAATATAATAATATTTTTACTCTGAACATACACACAGTCTGCCGCTGGAAACTGAACTTACTTAGTAACATATCATCATGCCTGTAGAGATTGTGGATCTCCATGGAACTTTAAAAATTAAAATTTAAAATTAAAATTAAAATGATTCATTAGAAACTTATCCTGCTTTTCGTATTTACTTAAATTACTTAAGCGAGTTAACTTTATGAACTTTCATTTCCTAAATAGGTACAGTAACTATCTTATGAAAAAAAGAATGTAAAAAAGTCATAATGAAGTCATACCGTGTGTGATCTTATTTACCTTATTATCGTCTTATACAGTTGCGACCATTCGAATACATAATGTTATAAAATATTATTTGGAGAAAGTGGATCAATAATTTGTCGGCTGATTCTCATTTACTTCGTTATAGATATTTGGTTGTACCGCGAAGAAAGACATACGTAAGCTATAACAAAATAGAATACCGAAGAATGCAGTAAGAGAACGGTGTGAAAGATGAAGTAGTGACCGTGATAGAAAAGGGAATGCTTCGATGGTTGGTCATGAAGAAAGGATATGGATGGAAACGTGTTGAGATCTAGACCTAGACAGTCCCGATCAGGTTGGGGACGCCTTTAAAAAAAGGACAGGTTATAAGTACAAATAATTCAGGGGAAAATCTAAGGAAAGTGTAGTCGTGGCAGAAGGAAAACCGCGTGGTTGAAGAATCCGACAGGCTGGCTCAAACTTGGCACACGTTTC